TTTTTATTAAAAAGAAACTCAAAGTTTCGAGAGTGCTCAACAATATCGATCTATTTATGATCAATTGTTATAGTACACAACTCAATGAGTAAGAACATTGATCATTACACAAGTGTTACACTCATTGCTACATGTGGTACAAGCATAGGTGCAATCGAGATTTTCTTCTTAATAATTGTTTTTTTTTTCATTTTTAGCTAGTTATATTTTGTATATATACTTATTTACGGTTAAATATGTAGTAATTTCAAATTATATTTTTACGTGTTAGCGGTTTAAAGATGAAACACATTAATAATATAATTATTTTTTTTCTTAATGATTAATTGACAACCTATCAAAATTGCACCGATGTAATACTATCGATTCTTATATTAGTTCTTCTAAAAACTTCTAGAACCGAATCGATACGGAATTAACAGTTCTTCAAATGCTTCCTAATTTTCTTTCAAAAACTAAATTGATCTCACCCCTACATTTTTCTTCGTAATACGACATGTAAAATATCACTTTTTGTTTTTTTAAATTAAAAAGATAAGTTTATAGCTGCAATCTTGGTGAAAATTCTGACGATCGACAGTGGCAGTCCGGATTTAAAAGTCTGTGGACTTTTTCAAATTCTATAAATTAAACTTATGTATGGATTTAAACGTCAATAGAATTCATTCATAAAAAGTCTATGGATTTAAAAGTCTATATACTTTTTTAAAAGTTCATGGGTTAAAAAAACTCAACCACAATCAATATTCAATACATCCCTTTAATCTCTGGCGGTAGAGTGTGTTATAAAAATCCAGTTCAATTTTCTAGTTGCAACATTGTTAAGTTTTGCACTATTCACATATTCTATTTTGATTACATTTTGTTTATTAATGTACTATATATTAATTATTTGAAAAAAATTGTTAAATTTCTCTCATTTTAAATTTTCAAAACATGAAAATTAAATTTTTTTTACAAATAAGAAATGAAATGTATTGGTCAAACTTGTGCGTGGACAAACGTGAAGAGTGAACGTTACAATTAAAACAGAACGAAGAAAGTACTCCGTATTACGTAGTACTTCGTACTTTATATTGCTTGATAACTTTTTGCATTACTCCGTATTATAAAAAGTAGTGTGTAGGTATTTAGGCACAAAGTAAGTAAATTTCTAGACTCAAATTTGTGATAATGCTTTACAAAATAATATGTATTGGGCATTTATTCAAGCATGTAAATATAAAAGTAGTGTGTGTACAAATTTGTTATGCACACATATAAATAATCTTTGTGCAAATAAAAATATCTTCCCATGAAAAATTGAAAATAAATAAGGAACGTTAGACTTAACAGCTAAGGGCTGAAAACATTATGATAAATGTTAGAGTTTTTTCCTAAAATATATTACTACCAGAAAATCTATGGACAAAAATGTGACTATAAGTTACTATTTGTAAGTTTTATATACAGTCACTATGATGTAACATTCAAATACATTTATGGTCACTAAAGTTATTAATGTCAATTTTTTCCAATACTTCTAATTTGGTTATATATTTGAAATTATTTCTAAATATTAATAATAAGAAATTATGTAACTTCATAATATGCGAATGTGAAGGTGTATCACAAACCAGACAAGTGCACACACGCAATTTCATCATTGAATAATACTTCCTCCGCCCAAATATTAATTGCGATTTTGATTTTTCACGCATATTAAGAAAATGAAAATTGTGTGGTGATGCAGATGAGTGAAAAATAATATGAATCCCGAATTCTTTGCCATATAAGAAAATGAAGTTTTTTCTAGATAAATTTCAAAGTAAAGAGTGAAAGTAATATTAGAAGGAAGAGATTATGCATTAGTTTGAAAGTCAAGATGCGCTCTTTATAAACGGGTAAAAGAGCATTTCACATCCGTGCGCATTTTGCACCGGAGGTCTACTTTTCATTTGGATTTTACCTTATATATGTATTGATTGATGGAGTAGGGTCAATTAAGGATTGATGAGCATGGTGCCAATTTGGCACTGCCATACTGTGAAATCTTATACGAATTACAGAGTGCGGAAGCAATGATCGAAAGCAAGATGGAGAAAAATGAATCTTAATGTTTACAGAAGGTGAAGGAACCTATTTATACAAAAGGGCTAACAGGCCTAAAATAAAGAAATAGTCCATTAGGCCCAAAATCAAAATAATCAATTTCTTTATTCTTAAGACGCCCCCTCAAGATGATCATGGATGTCCTGCATGTTCATCTTGTCTGCAAACTGCTTGAAGAGAGGATGTCCAAGAGGCTTTGTGTAAATATCTGCAAGTTGATAAGTATTAGGAATATGGATAAGTTTTATAAGACCAGAATTGATCTTTTCCCTAATTAAATGACAATCTAGTTCTATATGTTTAGTTCTTTGATGTTGAATAGGATTGTATGCTAAATGATATGTAGATTTGTTATCAGTGTACAAAGTTATGGGTAAAAAATTTTTAATTTGTAAATCATGAAGAATATAAACAATCCATTGGGCTTCACAAACTGCATTTGCAGCTGCCCTGTATTCTGCTTCAGTAGAAGATCTACTGATAACAGATTGTTTCTTGGATTTCCAAGAAATCAAGGAATCCCCAAGATAAAAACAATACCCAGAAATACTTCTCCTAGTATCAACACAGGATCCCCAATCAGAATCTGTATATGCTTGAATATTAAAAGAAGAATTAGAAGGGTAAAAGAGGCCTTTACCTGGAGAGCTCTTAAGATACCTAAGTACTCTATGAGCTGCAGCCATATGAATATTAGTAGGAGAGGATAAAAACTGGCTAAGTGTTTGAACAGAATAAGCTATATCAGGTCTAGTGACAGTAAGGTATAACAGTCTACCAATTAAAGTTCTATAAGTTTTAGGATCATTTAAGACAGTGCCATTTTGCTTTGAAAGTTTAATTTTACAATCCATAGGTGTGGAAAAAGGTTTGGAAGAAAGATAACCAAAATCAGAAAGTATATCAAGAGTATATTTTCTTTGGTTTAAAACAATACCAGTTTTTGATCTAGCAATTTCTATTCCTAAAATGTATTTTAATATACCATTAACAGCATTAATCTCATTCATATCATTTCCTGCAAGAATTAGATCATCAACATAAAGTAATATGACAGTAAAAGAGATATCAGTTACTTTAGTAAAAAGAGAAAAATCTGCTTGAGACTGTTTATAACCAAAAAATTTTAAGGCTTCAGAAAGTTTAAAATACCACTGTCTAGATGCTTGTTTTAAACCATATAGGCTTTTAAGTAATTTACAAACTCTAGTATCAGTATTAGGCAAATATCCTGGAGGAGGCTGCATATAAATATTTTCATTTAAGTCACCATGTAAAAAAGCATTATTTACATCTAATTGGTGTAAGTGCCAATTTTTTGAACTTGCAATAGCTAAAAGAATTCTAACAGTTGTTAGCTTTACAACAGGTGAGAAAGTATCAAAATAATCAAGGCCTTCTTCTTGAGTATAACCTTTAGCAACAAGTCTAGCTTTATATCTATCAAGAGATCCATCAGCTTTTAATTTTGTTTTAAAAACCCATTTGCAACCAATAGTATGTTGATTAGTAGGAAGATCGACAAGAACCCAAGTATTATTATTTTCAAGAGCTTTAATTTCATCATTCATAGCATTTTTCCATTCTGGAAATTTAACAGCTTGTCTGTAAGTTTTTGGTTCAGAAATTTTAGAAAGAGAAGCAATAAAACAGTGATGAGAAGAATGTAAATTGTTATAAGAGATATAATTCTGAATAGGGTATCTAACCATATTACAAGAAGGTTCAGAATTATCTGGAAGAAGAGAATTGGGTAATTTGTAATCAAAGTTTCTTAAATGAACAGGGATATATCTTACCCTAGTGGATTTTCTTTGAGTACTTCCTTCAGGAATACTTTCATGATTGTGAGAAGTATCTGTATGCAACAGACTAGAAGAATCATTAGCATTAGAATTAATATTATCAAACTGAAACAAATTTAATTCTTCATTTATTTGATTGTCCAAATAATTTGTGAGAGTGGAAGAACTATGTGTATTATTATTTTCATTTGAAATTTGAGGAGCAGGATTAGAAATAGTGTTTAAGTAGTCATTAATAATATGATTATTTTCTGTGTCAATAAAATCTGATTCAGAAATATTGTCAGTATGTACATTTTTATATGGAAAAGACATTTCATAAAATTTAACATTTCTAGAAACAAAGGTTTTATGAGTGGTTAAATCATATAATTTGTATCCTTTAGAGCCTAAAGGATAACCAATAAAAATGCATTTATGTGCTCTAGAATCAAATTTAGACCTATTTGAAGAAATAGTTGAAGCAAAAGCTAAACAACCAAAGACCTTTAAATGAGTATAATCTGGGACATGATTATAAAGCATTTCAAAAGGAGACTTGTTGTTCAGAATATTAGTTGGTAGTCTATTTATTATATGTACAGCAGTAAGTATGCAATCAGACCAAAAAGTAAGAGGTAAACAGGATTGAAATAAGAGAGCTCTAGCAATTTGTAGAATATGTTGATGTTTTCTTTCAACCCTACCATTTTGTTGAGGTGTTTCAACACATGATAGTTGATGAAGAATTCCTTTTGAATTATAAAAATCAGGAAAAAGAAATTCAGTCCCATTATCTGTTCTTATGATTTTAATTTTCTTGTGAAATTGAGTTTCAATTAAAGTATAGAAATTTAGCATATGAAATTTTACCTCAGATTTAGTTTTTAGTAGAAAAACCCAAGTACATCTAGTGTAATCATCAACTATAGTTAAGAAATATTTAAAACCAGTATAAGAAGTAACTTTGTAAGGACCCCAAACATCCATATGTATTAAATCAAAAGGATTAGAAGCATGAGCAATACTGATAGGAAAAGGAAGTTTCTTTTGTTTAGCAAAATGACAAATATCACAAGGTAAAGAGTGTTTTTCATTATTGGAAACATTACAATCAGGAAGCATGAAAAGTTTATTAAAAGGCAAATGTCCTAGTCTAAAATGCCAGAGAGTAGCAGAAGAAGTAGTATGTTGGCTACTTGCAGAATGTACAGTAGGAATATGATCTAAAGATGAGTCTGGATTATAGTAATAGAGGCCATTCCTTAGATCAGCAAAGCCAATCATTTTGCTGGTAAGGTGGTCCTGCAATATAGCATGGTTAGATGAAAAATAAACTGAGATATTATCATGAGAAGTTAAACTAGAAATAGAAATAAGATTAAAAGTAAAGTTAGGAACATATAAAACATTATGTAAAGTAAGGTTAGAATTTAATTTTATATCACCAATTTTAGTGGCAGAAATATAATTTCCAGTAGGAAGTTGAATATTAATTGAAATTTGTTTAGTTGGAGTTGTATAAAGTGAAGCATCATAAACCATATGATCAGATGCTCCTGTGTCAAGAATCCATTTAGAAGATGTAAAAGATGATAAAGCAAAATGGTTACCTAAAAACTGTGAAGCATTGTCAGAAGCATTAAGACCATCATCAGAAGCAATGGTGACAGCATTGACAGAAGCAGTTTTAGGCTGTTGAGCTTGAATGAATTGCAGAAACTTTTCATACAAGTTGGGATCACAGAGATCAGTGGTAGCAGAATTGGAGTTGGTAGAAGTCGGAGCAGATTCAGTGTAATGTGTAGGAGTTAAAACAGGTTCAGTAGAGTTGGCAGCCAGATTAGCATGATGATTTTTGTTTGAATTAGGATTTGGTTTAAAACCAGGAGCAAGCCTTTGACCTTTTGGTCCTTTCCAGTTATTAGGATAACCAATGAGTTGAAAACACTTTTCAGATGAATGACCTTGATAGCCACAGTGATTGCAGATAATAGAATTTTTCTTTTTAAAATTCTTAACAAAGAAAGCAGTAGCATCATTATTAAGTTTTTCAGATGCAGAGGGCTCTGAAAAAGAAGTACTGAAAGAGATAGAATTCTGAAGAGATCTTTGAGATTCTTCTTGCAAAAGGATAGAGTAAATGCTTGATAGAGTAGTGTTGTCAGTGTTTAGAAGAATTTGACTCCTAAGATTGGAGTAAGATTCATTGAGGCCAACAAGAAACTTTAGTATAGACTCTTTCTGGATAATCTTTTGGTAGGTTTCAGATATTTTGCAAGTACAATGACCACATGTACAGGAAGGAATAATACGAAAAGTACAGTATTCATCCCAAATTTCTTTAAAGGAATTGTAGTAATCAGTTATACTACGAGAGCCTTGAGAAAGATTTCCTAGGGTTTTTTCAAGTTGAAAAAGTCTAGGACCGTCACTTTTACCATATCTAAGTTGAATCTCATCCCAAAGTTCCTTAGCATTGGTAAAAGAGAGAAAAGTAGTACGAAGAGTAGGCGAAATTGAGTAAATCAGCCAAGATAAAAGAAGAGCATTGATACGATACCAGCAAGAGTACATTGAGTTATCCGGATTAGGCTGTTCAATTGAACCATCAAGAAATCCCATCTTGTTCTTCACCGCCATAGCCATGGAGACAGATTTCTTCCAAGCGACAAAGTTTTCTCCAGTAAGTGTCTCGTAGAGATCACTCGGATGAAGGTAATATGGTGATGAAGAGTCTTCGGTAGGATTTATCGGTAGAGCCATAGCGTGATCACTCCAGTTAGGGTTTGCAAACGATTATAGGAATCGATTGAAAGGAAATCGATTATAGAAATCGATTGAAAGAAGATGAAACCGATTACGAAGAATCGATCAGAAAAGAAGAACGAATCAGTAAGGATCGATCAAGACCTTAATCTGATACCATGTGAAATCTTATACGAATTACAGAGTGCGGAAGCAATGATCGAAAGCAAGATGGAGAAAAATGAATCTTAATGTTTACAGAAGGTGAAGGAACCTATTTATACAAAAGGGCTAACAGGCCTAAAATAAAGAAATAGTCCATTAGGCCCAAAATCAAAATAATCAATTTCTTTATTCTTAAGACATACACACGCATATATTTAGCCAATATAATGTTCGCATTATTAGCTAGGGTGGATTGGTGGAACCCTTCCAAACTCGCTCTTAGCTGGAAATCTAAGTAATATGTACATGTTTTGGTTCTTAATGAAGAAGAAGATTCCATGCAAATCACTCAACTCTGTGCTTTACCATCCGTTGAATTGGACAGCTCACTAGGTGGATGGGATACAGTTCAAAGCCAATATGGTAGTGAAAGGTTAATGTGAATGGAATATGTACCTAACCTTTGGAAAAGCTATTGTTTTCTGCCTTCTCTAAATCATTTGGATTAATGAAGCTATTCATCTCCACTAATTGTCATGTGGTCTAGGGCTGGGCACGGGCCGGTCGGGCGGGTAATGCAAAATAAAATGGAACCGCCGGTTCCATTATACGGTCCAGTTCGGGTATTGCAAATTTCAAAATAGGAACCGGACCTTACCCGGCCCGTTTGAAACGGGTCGGTCCGGACCAGGTTTTTCGGTTCCAATTTCTATCTCTTAAAAATAGTAAAAACTTACAAAGTTCCAAAAAACAATAATCAATGATCAATAATATAGTACATTGACAAGTTTCAAAATAACAACATACTGGTGCACATCTAACACAAGTGACAAGTTCAATACTCCATAACTTCATATATCTAAGTTCCAAACAATTAAAGAAGTTCCAAAAATCAGCAACATAGCCACTGTTAAGTTCCCAAATGACTACATCAAAGGTCCAAAATAACAACATAGTAAAGTGTAAACCTTCAACTCTTCAAGTCCGAAAAGACTACACCAAAATAACAACATAATTTACCTTGAAGTCTCAAATGACAATACCTAAATAACAACATTACAACTCATATTCATTAGTAGCTTAAAAGAACTCCAAAACTGAAATATAGAGAATTTGAGATACATCATAGGGCTAAGTAATCTAAGTTGGCAGAGGCCCAAGTATTAAAAAATTAGTATACAATATATATAACAGGCCGGGCCGGATACCCGGTAATTTTTTTATTTTGGAACCGGCCCGGGTCTTAAAAGAAAAAATTACCCGGCCCAACTCAGACCGTTTTCTTGCAACAAAAAATGGAGCCGGTCCGTTTTGGACCCAAACCGCCATTACCCGGATCGGACCGCGGTTCCAAGACCCGTTTGCCCACCCCTAATGTGGTCCGTGGCATGGCGTTTAAAATGGGAAATGTGATTCATGAGGAGAAGCCGAATCTAGGTGGGATGTAATTTCGAGAACATTTATGGAATGCTTTTAGGAATTGTTCAATTTAGGGAGTGTTTGCAACAACTTAAAAAAAACACTTTTCAGCTTTTGACTTAAAAAATCACTTATTTATCAAACACTACCAATTTTTACTTTTTCTCGGCTTGCGTGTGAAAAGTGTTTTTCCTTTTTCTATTACACAAAAAGCACTTATTTTACCAAACACTAACAACTTTTACTTTTCAAAATCACTTTTTTATAAAACACTATCAACTTTTACTACTAATCATTTTTTCCTTACATCTCCAAAAGTGCTTTTTTAAAGCAGAAGCTGTTGCAAGCACTCCATTAATATAACTCTTACTGGCCGTATGATAAAGTACCGGACCTATCGTCGGTTCCTAATAGCAATACCCTCCATAAATTGAAAAATTAAGAGAAATTATTATAAATACATCAAATGGAATCTGGCAGTCACTCATAATATTAGGATGAATTAGTAGAAAGAAAGTTATTCATGTAAATGGTTAATACAATGAATAATGGAAGAGTTTGATCTCTAATGAGCACTTACTAATGTATTTATGATAAAATGTCAATAATACAAATGGGTCAGACTAAGCCTACTATTATACCCCTCAAGATGTGCGAGAGATACAACGCGCATGTTGTTTTTAAGAAAATTGAACTGCTGACTAGAAAGACCTTTTGTAAAAATATCAACAAGTTGAAGATGAGTATGAACATATTTCACAACCACGTCGTCATGCGTTACTCTCTCACGAACAAAGTGGTAATCAATCTGAATGTGCTCACTCCGAGCATGTTGAATAAGATTAGCAGTCAAGTATGAGACTGAGATATTATCATAGAAGAGCTGCACAGGTGCGGTAATGGGGAAGTCGAGCTCGAACAGGATAGATCTAACATGCAATGTGTCCAAGAGACAAGATTAGGGCCCAAGAAGACATCAAATCCAGTAGTCGAGCAAGAGCTATCCGGACATCCCGCCCAATCAGCGTCAGAATAAGCCATAATATAGGTGGGTCGGTCACATGTCTGGAGCCACAAACCATGATCAAGAGTACCCTGCAAATATCTGAAAATACGCTCGACGGAAAGCATGTTAGTAGTATGAGCATGCATAGACTCATACACTAAATGGACTGCATATGTAATGTCAGGTCATGTCAAAGTTAAATATTGTAGTGCATCAATCATACTGCAGTACTCAGTGGCATCTGCAAGAAGTTCACCATCAGTAAGTGAGAGTGTGGTGCGTGTAGCAAGGGGATTTGACTTGAAAGTCTGTAAGTGAAATCGAGTGAGAAGATCACACACATATTTATGTTGAGAAAGAAAAAGACCCTTAGGAGTTCGAATAGACTGGACACCTAGAAAACAATGGAGATCACCCAAATCTTTCATAGCAAAATGACGAGCAATAAGAGTAGTGAAAGAATTAAGCAGAGAAGGAGAATTGCCAGTATTAATTATATCATCTACATATAATATTAAATAAATGACATAATTATTATGAAGATAAATAAACAAGGAATGATCAGACTTACTTCACACAAAATTATAAGTAAAAACTATTAAATCTGTGAAACCAAGCCCGCGGGCGGGGCCTTCTTGAAGTCATAGATGGCCTTGCACAGTCGACATAAATTAGTGGAAATTGTGGATGAATAAAACCTCACGGCTGACACATGTAAACTTCTCTTGTTAGATGTCCATCTAAAATGGCATTTTTAACATCCAATTGACGCATAACCTTTTGGAAAATTATTTAGTATTTCAAATAAACAAAATTTAATTTAAATGGTTTTATATTTAATATAATTAATGTTTTAAACAAATAATTCGGTCCGGTAGTTTTTTGAGATTTTCATCCGGATATAACTTTAACAAGGAGTCGAGTAAAATGGAACGTGCATAAGAGCATCTCCAATGGGGATGTCTATTCTCTTACACACTCTTACAATTGGGTCCCATTTTTTATCTCACAAATTTTATGTGTAGGACCTACATATCTCATTATTTATTTTCATTTTCATTTTTTTATATCACTTCTAACCCACTTTTCATCCACTTTTGCTCCTCGATTCCCGTGTAATGTCTATTTGTGGACATTGTCATAGACATTGTCTACAATTTACTCCTATCTCTCTCTTCCTTTTCATTTTTCTATACACACCACTTTCTCCATATTAAATTAAAATAATCATCCTATCTACAATTGTTGTCCACGTTTTTCTCCTCTCTTCATGCATCACCTAGCATTCCCAACAACTCAAAGTTTATTTTATATTATAAATAATAGTTTGCATGCTTCTTTTCCCCGGCAGAACTCTTCTCCTTAAAAACTTCTTCCCTGCAAACTTTACAAAAAGCCTTCACATAAATGCTTTCTCACAAAGGATTTTACTATCATTTAATATACGACATGTACTTTACCAAGCTTAATACATTCAAATACTCTAAAACCACTGCTGGGTTACCTCTAATTTAATATATCCTCGTAGATTCGGTGTCCGGCAAACTTGTCGAAGGGCCCGTTATATCTCGGGGGAAGATTTCCGGCCACCAGAAATACTTTCTTTAAGACAGCGTCTAACGCGTCTCGAGCCGTTTTATTTTCTAATATTGTTTTGCAGGTTTCGACGACGAATATCTCCAACATAACCCACCCAAAAGAAATTGCTATAGTAAGAACAAGACGAACGATGGTGGGTTTAACGATATGACTAAATGTCTCAGACTACCCCAGCTTGCTGATTAATGTTAAGAATTAAACTCACGCAACACGAAGAACAATAAGTAGAACACGCGAAATTTGGTAACTCAGTTCGCCACAAATGACTACGTCTGGGGGCACTACCAAGCCAGGATATTGCTATTATTTTCAGATGATGATTACAAGGAGATAGCTTGTATTTATAGAGAGTAAAACCTAACCCCTAGCAGTAATAGGACGCGCGCGAGGTCCAACTGGAATAAAAAACTCACGGCCCATATCGACGGAATGGGCTTGGTTATACAGTCTCTAAAACCTTATAATTAAAAATAGCAACACAATTGTTATCTGCACACAACTTTTGAATAAAAAAGTAAATTGAATTTAAGTTGAAGCACATGATAAACAGATTTTAGCATGAGAGGAGGACTAGAAGAATTTAAATTAATATCACCAGTGTTTTTAATAGGACATTAGTTCCATTAGCAACACCAACATACATGGGACCAACGTAAGGAGATTTATTAACTAAAATACCTTCATTCAGAGTCGTGTGAGCAGAAGCCCCGGAGTCGGGATACCATAAAACATTATTAGCATCACCAATAAGAGTTAACAAGGCCGGTGTAATGTTTAATTTGTGAAAAACGAGACAAACAATTCACAGTAGAATGATCAATAGAAAAGCAAATTTGACAAACAACTGGAAATGGAATATATCCAAGAACTCCCTCAGCTAAGGTGAAGCTTGCATGACCAGATTTAGTACCGCAAGTATAAATGAGATTAATATTTAAAGTGGACAAAACCGAATTACGAGCGGTACCTGAAGTGCCATGTCGAGGAAAACCCGCACACCCCTACTGCGGCATAAACGTAGGAGCCGCATCCCCCGGACTGCGCTGGT